GCCTAGGCACGTTCTAGAGGTTTCCTGGGATAATCCGGCTAAGGAGGGAAAGAAGGCGAGAAAGTTAGCAGCCGATCGAACTTCGTAGTCTAGCATGATGAAGAGGTTCACACCGATTAGTAGGAGGGGAAGAGCCGCGTCTATTAGAGGCGGAAGGAAGGCCGAGAACTTGACATCGGTGATCACAACTGGCGGGGTTAAAGTGATAGAGAGGCCCCGACCCTATCCTCCCAGACGACCCGGGGTTTCGGGAGTTCGAAGTTGGCCGCCGAATTGTGGCCCGAGGAGGGACCTTGAAGAGAATGGCGGCGGAGCTCCAATGGTTAGGGTCGTTAAAGAGGAAGACGATGAACCGATAGAGGAGGAGCCAAAAGAGGAAAACGCGCGGGGCTTGAGCGGGAGAATGCAGACGTTGATGCGACTAAAGAGGTGAGTGTAAAGGGGGTAAAATCTCTGTCGCAGGTCTTTTAGTTTATGCTTTTCGTTCAAGTTATTAATTAGTTAATTTTTAAGTAATGTGCTATATGTGTATGAGGCATCCCACCGCCTGTAAGGGTGGAGGCACGCGTTGTGCTATGTATGAAAGTATGGATGTATGATTGTAATAGTTTGTTAATGGTAAGAGGAACCTTAGGCGGTTGGGCCACTACTGGACGGCGAGGCGTAACGCAGCAGTTGATCGAGTATGTTGGGTCACTACTGGACGGCGAGACGTAACGCAGTAGTTGACGGGCATGGACTGGACGGAGATACGTAACGCATTGCCATTGCCGAGTTTGGGTATGCAACCGGACGGCGGGACGTAACGCGGTTGGCATACTAGGGTAGGGACACCGGACTGCGAGACGTAACGCGGTGGTCCCTTGTGTTGGTGTCTTTGGATTAAGAATATAAGTATGGAAATTATAAAGATAAGATAGGAGTAAAGATCTCTTATAGACTGTTTGATAGTAAAGTTTAAGGGATGAAAGTGAGAACGACTTTCGTCTAAGGAAGACATTCCCCTAATAATGTGTTTAGTAAGGAGTTTGCCTAGGGCAAAGACCTTAGGAAGTAACGACGAGACTGACCCCTTCTCACTGACTATGTTGAGGATAGTCTAGCAGGTTGAGGACAAAGACCTATGGGATTATGATACGTCTTGGGAAGGGGAAAGAGCAGGTTCCTAGAGGGATCGTTTAGTGAAACCCCTTCATGAGTAAGAAGAGGAGGGTCAAGGTAGCTCATATTCTATGGGGATGTGAGCTAATCAGAATAAGGTTCTGGAAGGATCCATGCAGTTAGTACACCGACTGGTAGAGCCAAGGAGTTATGGCAAATGTCGCCATAATCGAGAGGAAAGGGTGCAAGGAAGGGTCGTGGAGTTCAGGAGAATTGAACATAGGGCTACAACCCCAAGGAGCAGCTGTAAGTTAGACTTTGAAAAATACTAGGGCCACCTAAGCAAGCAAAGGAAGAACTAAGTATATCATAGGGAGCCTAACAAGATGTCATGAGATCAATACATCAAGGCTAGAAGGAGGTACAACTCCTTGCAAAGAGAGTATCACAAGTGAAACTTGGAGTCGTCACAACGAACAAATTTTGAGGTCGAAATTTTTCTTAAGGAGGGGGGGAAATGTGATGTCTCGATTTTGGATTTAGGTTCAACATCAACTACTAGGAGAATTGGATCAACATGACAAGCCGAATTGACATTTTGTTTCACCATGTTTGGATCAAGCTGGGGAGTAAAAAGGGTAGTGAGACACTTATGGTTACACGAGTGCGGCAAGATAAGGAAACTCATTTGAGCAAAAGGTACCAACGAAGTTGTTATAGTAAGAATAGATGATTGCGGGAAGGAAGGAAAATAAGGATGTTGATGGAAGGACGAGTTCCGAGCAAATTTCGGGGTCGAAATTTTTGTAAGGGTGGAGGAAATGTAACACCCCGATATTCTAGATTTAGGTTGGACCTTAATAGTGATCGGTTGGATTTACGGTTAAGTACTAAGAGTTACAACCGCGGATTAGGAATAATAATAATAATAATAATAATAATAATATTATTATTATTATTACTATATTTAAAAAAATAAGATATAATAACACATTGTTCGGTCGGGCCGAGCGGCCCTCAAAACACCACTCCCAAGCAAAGAAAACCAGAAACCCCCATCCCCCCCCCCATTATTTCCCCAATTCCGCGGGCAGAGAAGAAAGAACAGGAAGAAAAAAGAAGAAGAAAGGGAGCCGCCGCCTCCCTGTGCCCCGACCCCGATCCCGACCTCGACCCCATCCCTTTTGTTCTAGCGGTGACGTTGAGGGTTTGATCAACGTCCCGGGTCATCCAACCTAGGCCTAGGCACATTCTAGAGGTTTCCTGGGATAATCCGGCTAAGGAGGGAAAGAAGGCGAGAAAGTTAGCAGCCGATCAAACTTCGTAGTCTCGTGTGATGAAGAGGTTCACACCGATTAGTAGGAGGGGAAGAGCCGCGTCTATTAGAGGCGGAAGGAAGGCCGAGAACTTGACATTGGTGATCGCAATTGGCGGGGGTAATGTGATGGAGAGGCCCCGACCCTATCCTCCAAGACGACCCGGGGTATCGGGATTTCGAAGTTGGCCGCCGAATTGTGGCCTGAGGAGGGACCTTGAAGAGAATGGCGGCGGAGCTCCAATGGTTAGGGTCATTGAAGAGGAAGACGATGAACCGATAGAGGAGGAGCCAAAAGAGGAAAAACGCGCGGGGCTTGAGCGGGAGAATGCAGACGTTGATGCGACTAAAGAGGTGAGTGTAAATGGGGTAAAATCTCTGTCGCAGGTCTTTTAGTTTATGCTTTTCGTTCAAGTTATTAATTAGTTAATTTTTGAGTAATGTGCGATATGTGTGTGAGGCATCCCACCGCCTGTAAGGGTGGAGGCACGCGTTGTGCTATGTATGAATGGCTGGATGTATGATTGTAATAGTTGGTTAATGGTAAGAAGAACCCATGGGCGGTTGGGCCACTACTGGACGCGGTAGATGGTCGGGTCACTGCTGGACGGCGAGACGTAACACAGCATTTGATCGAGTATGTTGGGTCACTACTGGACGGCGAGATGTAACACAGTAGTTAACGGGCATGGACTGGACAGCGAGACGTAATGCAGTGCTATTGCCGAGTCTGGGTATGCAACCGGACGGCGAGACGTAACGCGGTTGGCATACTAGGGTAGGGATACCGGACAGCGAGACGTAACGCGGTGGTCCCTTGTGTTGGTGTCTTTGGATTAAGAATATAAGTATGGGTAGGGATACCGGACAGCGAGACGTAACGCGGTGGTCCCTTGTGTTGGTGTCTTTGGATTAAGAATATAAGTATGGAAATTCTAAAGATAAGATAGGAGTAAAGATCTCTTATAGACTGTTTGATAGTAAAGTTTAAGGGATGAAAGTGAGAACGACTTTCGTCTAAGGAAGGCATTCCCCTAATAATGTGTTTAGTAAGGAGTTTGCCTAGGGCAAAGACCTTAGGAAGTTACGACGAGACTAACCCCTTCTCACTCACCAGGTTGAGGATAGTCTAGCAGAAGTGAATCATGAAAAGAAGCAGGGCGAGGCGAGCAACAATACCAGCGTCGACGGGATATCGGAAAGCTCATGAGGAGTCCAGTTAGATTAGTTAATTTTTCTATTTCACGGTTATTAGTATAAACTGGAGATTCTGTGTTAAGTCGTTTTAAGTGTTTGAGATTGAGAATTTTGCCTAAGTGTTGGGGCTTTTCGTTAAAAATTCTTAAAGGATGTCAGTTTGTTTATTTTAAAATGTGGTTGGGTTGCTCTGGAGTAACCTGTTTTTTGTTTCAGTTATGGTTTGGTTTTTGAAAAGAGACGGGACGTGTCAATAATTTTGTTTGCATCCCGGATGTTTTGTGTTAGTTAAGGGATATGGGGGCTGAGTTGTAAGGTTCTTCAGACCCTTTGGTACCTTCCAGGTTAGGTGCAGACAGTAGTGGGTGGTGGTTATCGGTTAACATCATGTTCTATACATCTGCTGTTTCCTGGTAGTTGTCATTTCATCAATCTTCCTTTTTTTTGGTTCCTTGGGTGACAGTTACTATATCTACGTGTGTGACGAGAATTAGCATCATACGTTAGTGTTCCTTCTTCCTTCCTTCCTTCCTTCTGCTCCATTGTGTGGCCTAAATGTGCAGTAGTAGTGTGCTGCTAATCTTGTGTATATACATAGTGGCTTTGTTATACAGAAAGACATTGCGATTGCAGCAAAGATATAAATCTAATGCGCAGTGAATGTTTTTAATCTCAGCACCAACTCAACTCAACTTTTCATTTTGACAAGGGAAGTGGGGCACCATCGGCTTCTCGTCCTAGACGTGGAGGACGCTCTAAGAGTACCAGCATTCCTGCTCCTGCACCGTCTTCTGCTCCTGCTCCTGCTCCTGCTCCTGCACCGTCTACCGGTACCACCAATGTACCTTCTTCTCAAACAATAGACGAGGAGACAATTTCAAGAAAAAGGAAAGAAAAGTCTGACGTTTGGCCACACTTCAAGCATTTTAAGAAGGATGGAGTGGACAAAGCAAGATGCATTTATTGCAATGGTGTTCTTATTGCTCCCACTAGATATGGGACTTCTACTCTGCGGAATCATAAAGATAGTTGTTTGGAAAAGATGGAAAAGGGTGAGCTGATAGTCGACCATCTATAATCTTTTGGAGGCCAGGCACACACTCTTGGCCCTTGGAAATTCGATCAGATTGATGCTAGGAGAGCTTTAGCGGAGATTATTATCATAGATGAATTACCATTTATGTATGTTGAACATGAAGGGTTCAAACGGTTTATGGCTCGTGTTTGTCCAATGTTTGTGTTACCTAGCCGTCAGACCGTTAGAGAGGATGGTATCAAGGTGTTCTTTGAAAATAGAGAGTTGTTGAAGGACTATTTCAAGACTAAGTGTTTAGGGATGATATCGCTCACCACTGGTACTTGGACTTCTTTGTCCAATCTCAATTATATGTGCATTACTGCTCATTTCATTGGTAGAGATTGGAAATTGCATAAAAGAATTATTAACTTTGTCCAAGTTACTAAACATTCTGGAAGTGAAATTGGAAAACAGTTGGCTAGTTGTTTGGTGGAGTGGGGCATTAGGAAGGTGTTTTGTATAACAATGGACAATGCTAATGTCAATGATGTGGTTGCTATCCATATGAGGGAACAGTTGAAAGAGTGGGGAAAGGATGGCAAATATCTGCAGATGAGGTGTGTGGCTCACATTATTAATTTGGCTGTGAAGGACGGGCTTAAAGAAACTGGTAAATCTGTGGAGCGAGTGAGAGAGTTTGTGAAGTGGGTTAAATCTACACCAACTAAGAGCAGAAAATTCAAAGATTGCATTGAGTTTGAAAAGATAGTGTCGAAGAAATTTGTTTCGTTGGATGTAGCTACAAGGTGGAACTCAATGTATCTGATGTTGGAATCTGCAAAGCCATTTGAGAAAGCATTTCAGACATTAGCTAGAAATGATAAGAAATTCAAGAAACATCTCAATGAAAAAAAATATGGAAATGAAAGCCTTGGTATCACAACTTCTGATGATTGGTCTAGTGTGGGACGGTTGATTGATTACCTGAAGCTATTCTATGATTTGATTGTTCGAGTTTCTGGGACTTCATATGTGACTTTACACTTCTTGTTTGATGAGGTATGTGAAATGTATACTATTGTATCTGAGTGGGATGATGGTATAGATTTTGAGGTGTCTTGCATGGCTGAGAGAATCAAGTCCAAACTTGCCAAGTAATGGTTTGAAGATGAGTTGGAGAATTCCAAGATGAATCGGTTGTGTTATATGGCAGTCATATTAGATCCTAGGCGGAAAGTTGGATATCTTGAACAAACTTTGAAAAAGGTATATGGTGAGAGCAGGGGTAAAACTTTGGTCGAAGAGGTGAAAGATGAAATGCGTCTTCTGTTTGACCATTACAAGCATAGACTCGAAATTCACGGCAGTTCTCCCATTGTGATTCAAGAAGATGAGCAAGAACCTAGTGGAAGTGGGGATGGGAAGAAGAAAGGGAAGTTTTGGGGTGATTTCAGGAAAATGAAAAGAGATGCCATTCTGAAAGGAACTAGAAAAAGTTCCAAATCTGAGTTTGATAGGTACCTTGAGGAGGAGGAGGAGGAGGATGATGAAGTGGTTACACGAGCATTGGTAGGTTCAGAAGAAGATGAATACAATTTTAACATCTTGGGATGGTGGTTGCGAAGTGAGATGAAATATCCTACTATTTCTGAGATGGCTAGGGATATTCTTGTTGTTCCTATTTCCTCTGTTGCTTCTAAGTCGGCATTCAGCACAGGAGGTCGAGTTTTAGATTCGTTTAGGACCTCCTTATCCCCTGAAGTTGTGGAGGCTTTGATTTGTTGTGAAGATTGGATAAGATCTCCAGACTCCGAGTTGGTGGCTGATGGAGAAGATGAGGGTGATGAAGTGGTATTTCAAAATGGTAAGGACTTAATTTTTCTCTTTATTCTTATATTTGTTATCTAGATCAAGTTATATTGTAACAAGTTGTTATTGTTTATGTTATCCAGTATATGCAGCTTTTCAAGCTCAGAGTGCAAGTGCACCTGCAGGACCTAGTAGAAGCTCTCCTGCTACCCATGTTTTGATCCAAAGTCCTACTATGTCACAAGTGGAAGAAGACTATGTCGACGATAATTCTGATGAGAATGATGAGACTTATGTGGATGTAGAGCCCGATGAGGAGTGATAATAGTAGTAGTGTTTATCTTGTATGGTGGATGAACTTTGATTTTACTTGGATGTTATCATTTGAGAATTGTAAAACTAATGTGTTTAATTACGAGTTGAAGATAATCTCATCTATGATTGTCGGTATTTAATGTTGAACAAAATTATTTATAATTTTGCGCCAAACACCAAATATTTTTTTGCATATGATAGTTGATATACCTTCAATTTTGGACCTATGGTATTACTAAAACATTTAATCATACGAAAATCCACAATTAAATAAGATATGATTAAGTTACGTATAAAATATGTTTAAGTATTTTACTTTGTCTCTAAACTACTAATACTCTTTAATAGTTAATAGTATGTCTATAGTTATAGGATACATAAAATTAAATATTTTAATAATTAACTAATATTTTATTAATAAACAAATATGTAAATATTAGTTTTATACTGTCCACGTCCCATAAAATTAAACATAATGGTGAAATAAGAATGTACAAATAATAAGAATAAAATTGTTTGTACAAGCAAAAGAATGTAAAATTCAAATCACAAAAGTATTCAAAAAAATCAAAACGGTTCGGTTTCGGGTTCACCCGAACCAAAACCGCCAGCATAATTTTCGGGTTCCAGTACGTGAAACCCACAAAATGCAGTTTCGGATTCCGTTTCGAGTTCGGGTTCGTTTACCCGACCCGACCCGACCCGACAGGTCTACTAGGGATTGGAGGACACGCCGACAGGTAATAACACTATGATTGATCACCATCATCAGGAAAGTAAGTGATGGTTGGGATCGGCCTACCAATTTCATTACAGTTTCCCCTAGTTGCCCTGTGTTGTGTTGTGTACAATCAATAACTAATTAATTTCAATATAATGTCCACACACATAACATAAAAGTGCAATAATGATTACTAATTTTAGTTTATGGGTTGCCCCCTAATTAATTAAGTGATCCTTCCCTTTTCCTCCTCATGACTATATATATATGTGTGTGTTTTTATATAGATGAGTTTACATCATGATTCATGAGAAGAGAAGTTCATTTTGTAGTACAATATATAATTAGTTAGTTCCCACACCAATCCTACGTTTATTAGTATAGAAATCTTACAAAAACTTCCCAGTGGAGACGTATATCCAAATCCAATCCAAGTCTAATAATCAATTTCATCAGAACAAAACTCCCCGATTAACACTTGGAATTATTATTATTGATCCAGAAGGCTCTCGGGATAGCTATAAGTAGCTAACAGGGCACAATAATCAGTCTACTCGATTGCCACGATACTACATAGTGTCTCTTCAAGATGCCTCACTGGTCAACCACTAGCTATCATCGTCAACGTACAAATTAGGTGGAAGCAAAGACTGATCGTATGAGTTAGAAACCTGATGCGACTAAGAACTTGGTTCACTTGTACAAACACAAATTCTGAACCTGGTGATTTCAGATTTGAATTCCTTAAATATGACCTAATAATAAAAAGAAATTTACGTCACCCTTATAAAAAAAGCTAGAGACCTAACAGAGAAGGAGCCACTTTTCTAAAAAAAAAAAAAAAAAAAGAACCGCCTCCAATATTCTTCAAAGTCTTACATAAAAAGTTATAAATTATCTGAAAACTTATTAGTTAGTGACTTAACAATGTACAATTTTTTACATGTCACTTGTTTCGCCCACATTACAAAAATTTTACATGTCACCTAACAATGTACAATTATCCGAAAATAGAAGTACAGTGACATTCTTATTAATTATCAAGTGTCTTCCAATCTTCACCATATTCAATACATAATGTATTGTGTACATTGTATTTATAATGTGGTAAAGTACATCACGAATGCCTGCAGTCAGTCAGCTTAGTTTTGTAATATACTTAATTTGGCAAAGTTGCCTAAAATTGACACTTTCCTAACTGTTCCTCATGTCATCCACTTCCTAGATAATGATAACAAATCGAAACACTGCCAAAAAGCTTTGAATTAACATAATATATAGTTGCTTCGAATCAATCACCACTTCCAAGTTCCAAGTTCCCATCTACATATACTATTACTACTAGTCTACTACTACTACTACCTATACATAGGAACTTCAGACCTAATTAATAAGTGATCTCTTCCAATGCTGCGTCAGATGTGCTTTTGATTTATCAATATGGGAGGTTTTGTGTTCGAGTTGTTTTGAAGGTTGAATCTCCTCTCCAGAATAAAAGAATTTGGTGCACATGCGGCATACAGTGCAATCAACGAAGAAGGAGATACCATGAGAACACGTAAAGCAATGCGATCAGGGTGAAAACGTGTAGATGTTGAATTGAGCAAAGTAAAAGGCTATAGATGAAGTGATGAATGTCATAGATAAGATGTGTGTAAATTTGTATGAATAAGGGAATTGTCTAATAGTTTTATTGCTGGTGTTCAATCTAAAAATTTCAATTTCAAAGGTTTAAATTATAACATGTAATAATAAAAACAAACCAATGTCAGCATCAGAAAAAAATATGTGTAAAATTGTATTGTTACCATTGCACTTAAGTGGCTATAGTGTAGGGATGGCAATGGGGCAGGTTTTTATAAATCATCTTCATCCACGCTTTCAAATATATAAACACATACTTGTCCCATACCCATGCGGGGAAGGTTTTGCAAACCCATCCCCATACCCGTGGTTTTCGGGTATCCATGGGTAATACCCGCCCCGTACATCCAACATTATAACACCAAAAAATTTATATGTAAATTTTCAAGTTTAAACGCACCTATTATAACATGAAGTCCAAAGAAATAATAATTCTTAACACGGTTTAAAGCATTTTATCCTAAAACATCCATTAATCCATAAGATGGAGTACAATATAATCCAAATCATTATTATCTTACTCTAATACATGTACTAAGTAATAACTAACTAACTAACATAATCTTGTTAACACGAGGGGAAAAAAAGAAAGAGTGAAGGGAGAGTTGAGAAAAATTAATTAGGTTTTGATTTGGGTGGTCACCCAATTACATTTCTACTAAATATTTTCTTGAGTTACCCTCACTATTATTGATATGTTATAATTTAATCAATGTATTTTTTATATGTGAAGAAAATTTTTTCATGGGGTGGGTATGGGTATGAGTATGAGGCGGGGGAGGCTAAAACCACATCTGCCCCATACACATCAAACGTTTTGCGGGTTTTACCCATACCTGTCTCACACTCGGTCAAAGCGGAAATTCTCCATGTTGACTGGATCGGAGGCGATCGGATACACACGGTCATGGGTCTGATTGTCATCCCTATTAAAGTACACTTCAAGAAATCAAAGTTCAAATCCCACACATCAAAGTCCCCTTAAGTGAAAAAAGAGTGAGACTCTCTCCCTTACTTTAATTTGAAACCTAGCGTTCTCCCTTCACTCTAAAAGAGACATTTTTTCCCCCTTCTCTATAGGGTTGCCGCCGACTCCCTTTGGTGACCGGCGGTGGGCCAATGCCCTTTCCTTCTATTTGCTTTCTTTTCTTGCCTCCTTGCCTCTATTATGGCACTTTTCAATCTGATTTTCCAGCTTTTTAGCTTCTCCAGCCTTTATGGCATTTCCTTGCCCTGTTCTAGGGTTCCTTTTTTGGAATTGCTCTCCTTGGGGCTGGGTTATGCATCTAAGGGTCTCCTCTCTAGATGGTGGGTTCATCAACATGCATGGTGATTCGATTCATCGATTTCCCCTCCGTTCCCCCTGTTGGTGGTTCTCTGCCTCTTGGTCTGTATCGGTGGAAGGAAGGCGGTGTTTGGCCCTTCTGGTTGCGGTAATAGATATTGGATTTTGGGGTTTGGTTCCTCTTCTCCCTTGACCAAGTTCTTGGTTCCTCTTCTCCCTCTGCTTTTTCAGCTCGGGGCATTTAGATCCTCTACCCTTTCCACCGCCATGTAATCCCTCACAAGAGATTCACTGTGTTGAGCGTCTTCGAGGGACTCCTAGGAGGCGCCCTATGGCATTGTGTTCAATTGCCATGGACTCGGTTAGATCGGAAGATCTGATTATGCTTGGTGCTCTTTGATTGGTTCGATTTCAAGCGAGCTTTCGGTGTTTTCCGGATCTGATTCAAGTGGCCTTTAATTGGGTTGATCCTTTCTGTGTTGTGTTATCCTCTTGTTGTATTTCCTAACACAGATTGTTCAACTGTGTGCTTGAGTTTGTTTGGCCTTGATCATTTCTAGGCTTCTGTTTTGGCTTGCCTTGTAATCTTTCTTTCAAAGAGCAATACAAGTAAATCCTTTGTAAAAAAAAAGTCCCCATAAGCACACCCTTTCACCTGAATCCGGTTATGGTACCAAATGTAGTACCTTTTGATAATTGTCAAAATTACTTACAATCATTCTATTGATGTGACTTGAATCGGACTATCAGCCGCTACGACTGGTAATCGGTGTATGGGTTCAATGTTATTTGGGTTCGGGTTCTGGGCCTGGTCTGTAACAGTTTCCTTTTCCATATTGGATTAGGTTTAGACCCACATGGAGAAGTACTATAAATACTTCTCATACTCCTCTGTAATTTGTAATCTCCTCGATATAGTGAAACTGGCTCTCTCTCGCCCGTGGACGTAGCTAACACACACCGTGTTAGTGAACCACGTAAATCGTGTGTCTGTGTTTTTCAATTCTCGCTTTCGTATTCTTGCTTTATCGATTCCTGCGATTTCCCGATCCGTAGCAGCGCGTTTATAACAAGTGGTATCAGAGCTGCGGCTGGAAATCAGGCTAGGGTTTTCGATTCAGAAGAATGACGTCGGTGAACATGAAGATCGAAAAGTTCACGGGGAAGAACAGCTTCGCTATATTGCAGATCAAGATGCAGGCTTTATTAAAACAGCAAGGGTTGTGGGGGACGCTGTCTGCGAAACAGAAGAAGGCAACGGTCGATGACGATGAGTGGAATACCCTGGAGGAGAAGGCCCACTCGACCATCATGCTATCGTTGTCTGATGACGTCATCATTGAAGTCGCTGCTGAGAAGACTGTCGCGGGCTTGTGGTTAAAGTTGGAGAGTCTGTATATGACGAAGTCCTTAACCAACAAGCTGCATCTCAAGCAACGGTTGTTCAGCTTGAGGATGCAAGAAGGTACGCATTTGAGGGAACATCTCGAACAGCTTAACTCTATTTTGCTGGATCTGCGTAATATAGTTGTTCAAGTTGATGACGAGGATGCTGCCCTAATCCTGCTGGTTTCTTTGCCGAGTTCATATGAGAATTTCGTTGACTCGTTTATTGCCGGTAAAGAAAGCGTGTCGTTGGAAGATGTCAGGTCTGCTCTTCATACGAGAGAGATCAGACATAAGGCGTCCGGATCTGGTACAGGTGGTGAGGCAACGGGTTTGGCTGTTACAGGTGGAAAGGGAAAGAAGAAATCTGGTAAAGGGAATTCGAACAAGAATTCCAAGGGTCCCGGTCCACAGCCAGGTGATGCTTGTCACAACTGTAAGGAAGTGGGGAATTGGAAGTACAACTGTCCCAAGAGAAGAGGGCAACAGAAGAAACAAGGTTCAGCTGCCGTGGCAGAAGTGGACAACAGTTCTGAAGACGATCTCGCCTTGGCTGTAGATGAGAAGTCACATCGTGGGGATGTGTGGTTTCTGGATACTGCAGCCTCATACCATATGTCTCCGAACAGGGATTGCTTCACAACCTACGAGCAGATAGATGGTGGTAACGTGGTCATGGCTAATGGAGCTGCCTGCAAGGTTGTTGGAATCGGGTCCATAAAGGTTCAGACACATGATGGTTCATTCTGTACCATGAATGATGTCAGGCATGTTCAACGAATGACAAAGAACCTGATCTCATTGAGTCTACTCGACAGCAAGGGTTTCAGCTTCAAAGGAAAAGGTGAAGTTGTGTATGTCTGCAAAGGTTCAAGGAAGGTACTGAAGGGCGTGAAGCGTGGGACCTTGTATGCATTATAAGGGTCTGTGTTGTCTGGTTCTGCTGCAGTTGCATCGTCTCAGGTTCAACAGGAAGATATGACCACTCTCTGGCACATGAGACTAGGGCATATGAGTGAACGGGGGATGCAAGTTCTATCGAAGAGGGATCTTCTTTGCAGGCACAAGGTGCAGAATTTGGAATTCTGTGAGCATTGTGTGTTTGGGAAGCTACATCGCATCAAGTTTCCCAAGAAGGGTATCCACCGGACAAAGGGGATACTAGATTACCTCCACTCCGACTGTTGGGGTCCTTCACGAGTTGAATCCATTGGAGGCAGCAGGTATTTTCTGTCTATTATTGATGATTATTTGAAATTTACTTGGATTTTCATGATGAAGCAGAAAAGTGAGGCTTTCACGAAGTTCAAGCAGTGGAAGACATTGGTGGAGAATCAGACCGGGAAGAAGATCAAGAAGCTGCGAACGGACAATGGTCTGGAGTTCTGTAATTCTGAGTTCAACGAATTCTGCAAGGATGAAGGGATTGCCCGTCATCTGACTGTGAGAGATACACCCCATCAGAATGGCGTTGCCTTAAGGATGAACCAGACATTGTTGGAGAGAGCACGGTGTATGCTCTCTAATGCTGGACTAGAGAGAAGATTCTGGGCAGAAGCAGTGAACATGGCGTGCTTCCTGATCAACCGTGGACCTCACACAGGTATCGAGTTGAAGACTCCTTATGAGGTGTGGTATGGTAAGCCTGTTGATTACTCCTCACTGAAAGTTTTTGGGTGTCCTGTTTATTATCATGTGGATGAGGGTAAACTGAACCCAAGGGCAAAGAAGGGTGTATTTGTGGGTTACGGAGATGGAGTTAAGGGATTTCGAGTCTGGTCACCTTCTGAGCATCGAGTTATACTCAGTAGAAATGTGATATTTGATGAGAAGTCTATGTTTAACCCCATGTTGAAGGTTACTGTTGTTGAAGGTAGCATGAATGTTGATAAGCAGGTGGAGCTGCAAACTCTCAATGAGAGTGAGTTTGAGCACCAAGGTGGAGAAGATCAACATGATGAGGATGTCTCTGCAGAGCCAGAAACTTCAGAGTCCAGTGCACGAGCTCAACAGTCTATTGCTTCCGGTAGACCGAAGAGAGCGACTGCATGAGTACCTCCACAGAGGTATGGCTTCGAGGACATGGTGGCGTATTCATTTCAGGTTGCTGAAGAAGTGGATGCAGGAGAGACACAGTCCTATAGAGAAGCAGTTTCGGGTGGCGAAGCTGATCAGTGGCTTGCCGCAATGGGAGATGAGATGGAATCCCATGACAGGAATCAGACTGGAGAGCTAGTCAAACGACCACAGGGAACGAAGATTGTTACAAACAAGTGGATCTACAAGAAGAAGGAAGGAATCACTTCTAAAGAGGGCATGAAATTTAAAGCTTGGGTGTTGAAACGAGGCTTCTCGCAGAGGGAAGGAGTTGACGACAATGAGATTTTCTCACCAGTGGTCAGACATACTTCGATCAGAGTGCTACTAGCAATAGTGGCACATTATGACTTGGAGCTCGAGCAGCTAGACGTGAAGACAGCTTTCCTACATGGAGAGTTGGAGGAAGGAATTTACATGACTCAGCCAGAAGGATTCGAGGTTCCGGGAAAAGAAGACTATGTTTGTAAGCTGAAGAAGTCCTTGTATGGACTTAAGCAGTCTCCGAGGCAGTGGTACAAGAGATTTGACAGTTACATGCTTGAGCTGGGCTACAGCAGAAGTCCATAAGATTGTTGTATGTATCACAACAAAGTGGAGGATGGTTCGATGATCTATCTTGTTCTATATATGGATGATATGCTCATATCCGCAAGGTCAAAGTCTGATATCCAGAAGTTAAAGGGGCTTCTTAGTGCTGAGTTTGAGATGAAGGATTTGGGAGCTGCTCAGGAGATCTTGGGTATGGAGATTTACAGGGACAGGTCGAAGAAGAAGCTTTTCTTGTCATAGAAGAGCTACATCCAGAAGATACTGTCGAGGTTTGGCATGTCTTCAGCAAAGCCCTTAAATACTCCTAGTGCTTCAAATGTTCATCTATCCTCAGCTTATGCACCGCAGTCATAGGCTGAGAAGGAGTACATGTCAAGAGTCCCATATGCTAGTGCAGTAGGTAGCTTGATGTACGCTATGGTATGCACTAGACCTGATCTTGCACATGCTGTTAGTGTTGTCAGCAGGTTTATGATACAACCTGGGAAGGAGCATTGGCAGGCTGTGAAGAGGATCTTCCGGTACCTTAAGGGTACACCTGATGTGGGGATTAGCTTCGGAAGTGATATAGAGTGCTTGGTGTCTGGGTATTCTGACTCGGACTATGCTGGAGATGTTGACACGAGGATATCGATGACCGGTTATGTATTCACTCTTGGGAGTTCTGTAGTGAGCTGGAAGGCAACTTTGCAGTCGGCAGTGACATTGTCTACCACTGAGGCGGAGTATATGGCGTTGACAGAAGCTGCAAAGGAGGGAATATGGTTGAAGGGACTGGTTGGTGATCTTGGCCTACATCATGATCAGGCAGTGGTGTATTGCGACAGTTTGAGTGCAATATGCTTGGCCAAGGATCAAGTCCACCATGAGAGGACTAAGCAAATCGATGTGAGGTATCATTTCTTGAGGACAGAGAAGAGGATTAAGGTGAAGAAGGTTAGCACAGCGGATAATCCTGCTGATATGTTCACGAAGCCGGTTCCACATGGCAAGTTCCAACACTGCTTGGACTTGCTGAATGTCTTGAGTGGGTGACTCCGCCCTGCGGGGCATTGATGGCGGGAGAGAGAGAAGGAGCAGAGTACATCAGAGATTTCAGAAGAAGAGGATTCAACTGTGTGCTTGAGTTTGTTTGGCCTTGATCGTTTCTAGGCTTCTGTGTTGGCTTGCCTTGTAATCTTTCTTTCAAAGAGCAATACAAGTAAATCCTTTGTATAAAAAAAAAGTCCCCTTAAGCACACCCTTTCACCTGAATCCGGTTATGGTACCAAATGTAGTACCTTTTGATAATTGTCAAAATTACTTACAATCATTCTATTGATGTGACTTGAATCGGACTATCAGCCGCTACGACTGGTAATCGGTGTATGGGCTCAATGTTATTTGGGTTCGGGTTCTGGGCCTGGTCTGTAACCGTTTCCTTTGCCAGATTGGATTAGGTTTAGACCCACATGGAGAAGTACTATAAATACTTCTCATACTCTTCTATAATCTGTAATCTCCTCGATATAGTGAAACTGGCTCTCTCTCGCCCGTTGACGTAGCTAACACACACCGTGTTAGTGAACCACGTAAATCGTGTGTCTGTGTTTTTCGATTCTCGCTTTCGTATTCTTGCTTTATCGCTTCCTGCGATTTTCCGATCCGTAGCGGCGCGTTTATAACACATTCGATTCTAGTAACAATATAATAGATCCGACGACTTCTAAAAATGAAAGAGTGTTTTTGGAATCAAAAAATGCACCACCTCGTGCCTCATTCCCTGTTTTTCATTTATCATTTTTCATGTATTTACTTTTCCCCATATTTTCATATCTCATAGGTTCGAACTCGAATTTCAAATACTATTGCACAGACAAATTCATATATATAAAGTTAGATACAGATTACTGTTGCCTAAGAACTTTTTAACTCTGCATCATCGTTTATGACTAACCAATTATGTATTGACATGTGGATATAAGGGGGAAGAAGATGCCATTTTCTTTTCATACGTTTCTCCTTGAAAGACACAATGAAATCCCATTTCTACATGGAGTTCTTCATTGATCAAATCCAGGGAGAACACTTATCACCCATTTCCTTCCTATTTTTATATATTTCTTTCTTTTTTACTAATTGAGATCTTCATAATTAATTATTTGGGAATAACGGTAAAATTAAAAATAATAAATTAGTACTATCTACAGTAACTTGAATATAATTTGAAGTTATGTAACTTACATTAATCTATATCGTTAAAATATATAAAATTAAATTACACTGTCGATTACCAACAATAGTAATCGGGAGTACTATAAGGTCATCAGTAATTGACCTTTTACAATTGCTATGTAAAATATGCATACAATACATAAAGTTTACGGAATGACAATTGTTTCTTACGTAACAGTTAAATCAGAAGCGTTACATAAGGATTTCGTAATGAATTATCACTGTATGTGACGCAAGGTTAACATCATTACGTAAAAGGACCTTGCATTACTTAAGGCTTCTGTAATGACACTTTACAACTGCTACGTAAATACACATATATTACGTAAAGATTATAGAACTATAGTTATTTATTACATAATACTTAAATTAGAAACATTACGCATTGGCTGTGTAATGATCGATTTATCACTTTACGTAATGCGAGATTAACATTCATTACGTAAAAGGACAGTACATTACGCAATGCTTCCTTAGCGACCTTTACAATTGTTACGTAAGATAAGCACACGTTTCATAAACATTATAAAGTAACTATTGTATTTAACGTAATGCGACATGTGAAACCTGCTATGACAAGTAAAAATATTCAAGTTAGTTAAAGCAAGAAATTTCTAAAAAAATATTATAAGGATTAAAATCATGCCAAAAAGTCCCCAAAAAAGCAAATAAAGTAGATATGAGCCAGCAACGGATAACGTCACTGTTTCTTGCCATCCGCAGCATAGCGCGGTTCAGTTCTAGTATATATTATTCCATATATGACAGCTAATTGAAATAAAAACCTGTAAAGTGCCGATTTTGAGTTTCTAAGACTTTTGTTTAATAGAAGAAAAAAAAATGGGTCGAGGAGCTCCCTCCTCTCTCATCAAGTTCTGGTAGTCGGCGGCTCATCAGCTCCTCTGGACGATAAGCAGGGCTATCGACCGATCACTAATATGTGTACTGACAGTTGCGCTAGCCAATCAAGGCATCCAGACTGATCGCGGGAAGGCTGATAACCATCACTCGCACGGGCAGCCCAAGGATCAGGTGGTAGAATCCGCCGTGCGCCCTTGCCGGAAAAGGGACAGTTCCCTGCGTGACCTGGATGTTATGCAGTTTGGCCCGTCGGCAAAAAGGAGTCGGCGGTCTAGACTCAAGGGGTGGCGATTTTGTCTCCCGTCGCCTAGTGAGATTGAAGGCGATGACTGGGAGTGCTTAACCCTACATTACAATAAAAACCCTAGCCATGGGTTGAAAACCATGCTCAGGTCAGCCATGATGCGATCGGACTCAGATCCCGAAATGGGGTGAGGTCGATTGATTCTCAGACATGGCGTTTCAACCTCTCCTCGTCAAGTGATGACGATGGCGTCGAGATCGAAGGCCCGGTGTCTTCGGCTACTGTCCCCCAGGTGATAGAACCTGTCTTGGGGAGGGTGATGCTCCAGTCGGAGCTCAGACCCCGGGGTTGGGCGGGATCGGATTGGTCACTTCACGGTCGCATCGGTCGCTCCGGTGTGAGTGGATTGCCGCCGTTCGCCAGTTGCCGGCACACTGAATATCCTCGGCTGCTTCGACTGAGCTTCCCCAGTTGGAGTTGGACTCCCAACCGGCTCAGCGGCGCCCAACCGAAGCGGTTTTCTCGGAAGGTGCTAAACCCTAATGGTATTGCACGTGAGATAGGAGTATCTAGAAAAATATATTTTTCTATAACAAAATTAAGAGACCCACTCCACTTAGGATGGTCTCGGCCGGGGATTAGCCAGCTCTCGCCAGGTTATATAAATCGGCCCCCATGCCCTATGGCTTCTTTACACTTTCTCAAGCCTAAAGAGCGCCCGGGACAGCTAAGGAAAGCAGAGAAGCGAGGGTTGCGGCAATCTTCCGGTGAGTGGCTTCTTGTCTCTGCCGAGATTCATGTTACTCTGTGGATGTGTGGTTCACCCATGCACGTTATTATCTTTTCTTTCTCGATATTTCCTTGGTCGTTAGGGGGCCTTGACTATTGCTTCGAGACTGATCAAGTCACGTCGCTGGCTATACAGGTTACTCCAATGGATCGTGTTTCTAATGACCAAGTTGTGGACTTCTCGCTGGAGGAAGTGCAAGCTACGCGGGTTCGGAAATCCAGAATGCTAATTGGGCGCCTATTCACTGATGCCCGATTAACACCGAAGGAGATGCGAGATGCGGTCAATAGGCCGTGGCAAGGTCAGGGTCATATTGTTGTGCGCCAACTGGCACATGAACTCTACGAGTTCACTCTCCCTTCTAAGGCAGCAAGGAATTGGGTGCTCCAACAAACCCCTTGGATCGTTGCGGACAGGATACTCCATTTGAGGGTGTGGGTACCGGCTATCTCGCAACGCACGTTTGACGAGCTCTCCATTGCCCCGTTCAAGGTCAAAATTTGGGATGTTCAAGAGGATTGTTGTACCCACCAGTTCGGTCGCAAAATAGCGAATTCCTCAATTGGTCGTGTCTTGGAAGCTGGAGTATTCTTGTGTAAGGATACAACGCAGAAATTTATCAAGGTGAAGGTCTTGGTTGACTTCTCCCAACCCCTGCGATCCCAAATCATGGCTTGGAATGAGGAGACGGGTGGCTTCTGGATTCGATTTAAATATGAATACCTCCCAAGTTTTTGTTTTAAATGCGGGCGGGTGGGGCATGCGCGTCAAAGCTGCAACTTTGGTCCTTCGTCAAGAAAAGAGTGATATGGACCCCATATGTCCACAAAAAATATGGGGAGGAAAATCTTTGAGGATGATGGGTCTTCTCAGCAGTCTCGTAGAAACCCAAGGTCGGTCTGGGTCAACGTGGCCACTCATGGGGGCAAGGAGGCGAAGGCTGATGAGGCTTTTGATACGCGTCAGCTGGGGAAGGACAATCCGACTCTAAGCAGACCACGAGCAAGCGAGAGTGACCCTCTATGGATGGGTACGTCGGAGAGGCCTTTTATCACTACTGAAAGTCGTGATCGGCCAAGGAAAACCCACTGAAGATCCCGGTCGCAAAGGCCCCAAAAATTGTCATGGGGAGAACGACACGTCGGGGCAAGGCACGAAAAGGGAGGGCCGGCAGCCCAATGGAGGTGGATGGAGGTGTTAATGAGCCTCGTGCTCGGGACGGCAGAGTACTCCGGCCTAATTAGTTGGCGGTGGACAAGCAGGGAAGGAATGCACAGAAGCTGGGCAGTCGGCCAGTGGTGCAACCCAACCCTCGCCTGGAACCTGTCAAGGACGACGTGGGGATGACAAGGAGGCATCGACAGCTTTTGGAGGAGGATTCAGAAGAAGAGTTCCTGGTTGGTGACCTCCCTCCGCCAGTGCAGTCGAGGGCGGCGATGAAGGAGCCATGCCCACCGATGTCAACTCAGTCGGTGATAGAGGCAGTGCCGTTAAGGCAAATAGCTCCCGACCCGGACTGTTTTCAGGCCGTGCACAAGAATATTGAATTGGATAAATCCAAATGTGGGGAGGCTGATGCGCGAAGAGGGATGAGTGAAAAAGGGAAGTGTGTGCAGTCAAACCTTCCTGTTGCTATGGCGAAAAAGGCAATAAAGAAGATAGGCGGAAACTGAAAAACCCAATGCCGGAGTCTTGGGAGTCGGAGGACACGGCATCGGAGGATGAGGAGCTGGCCTTTGAAGTTAGGCATCGTGAACCCGAATTGAATGGGAGCTTAAAGCGCTTGGTACGTGCTAACCGGGTGCACCAAGTGGTTCAAGCTTTCGAGAAGGGTTTAGATATGAAGGATCCTGGTCCGGTTGGGTGCCCGTCCCTGCAACAAAAATTGGGACCCTCTAAAGGACTAGTGATCAATGAATATGGGAC